GAAATGTAAAGTGGACTGAAAAAAATGCAGACAAATTGACATATTTCTCAATAGAGCGCTTTGAAAACATTGTTAGAGCAACTGGATTTGCGTTTGGTTCGAATGCCTCCAAGAATTGCCTTTATTTTCCATGTTGTCAATTTTTTCGCTCGTTTTTGATTGTGTTTCTGTCCTAAACCTTATTTCTAGGTATTATCTTCGTTTCCTGGACCCACATAACGAGAATGCTCCATTTTCACGAGAAGCTGCGTTTAGAATGCCTGTAGACATCTATGTCGGTGGAATAGAACACGGTAGGATTACACTTTGTGAACCTTTTATGATCGAGCAATCGCTACTCTTTTCCAGCTGCTGTACATATGTTCTTTGCTCGCTTCATCTCCTACTTTTTGACGGATATAGGCCTGACATTAGTAAGTTTATCTTCTCGTTTGAACGAATTGCGGAAATCATCTAGTGTGAATTATATCTCAAAGAATTGGCTAAACATTGTGTTTACATTGAAAAGCTTAGTTCAGACTTTTAGATCTTGCGCAAAGCTAACAATATTCAACTAAACTAGTTAATAATGTTGATAGATTAGGAATATCTACAAACGGAACAAATTCTTTTAGAAGTTTTCACTCATAGCTGCTGTAGAAAATGTGAAACGACCGGATTCCCAGTCTGTAAAATGCATATATAGTTTAGCTCAGTATTTAGGAACCTGAACCATTCCGAAATCTCATACCACAAGGAATTGTACGAGGGAGAACTTTTACCACCTCTGATGGAAAATATGTGCCAAAAACGGAAGTGATGTTGAAAGGTATCCGTTCTTGTTTTGCTGATTGGATAAACTAAGGCTGTGGCTTCTTTATACATATTTGTCTTTCTTTACAGACAAAAAATATTTCGCAAAGGACGGCACTGAGCTCACTATGGTCTATGAGAAAATGAGCAAGTCGAAAGGAAATGGTTAGTTTATTTTATTTTTTGCAGTTTCGAAAGATTATCTGGAGAAAATTACAGCATTTTGTAGAACTTTTTTAAACAAGTTTTTCTTAGCAAAATAAAATTTTTTCCTGGATTTGATGAAACTTTTCCCTTTTTTTTTGTGAGCCAAAATATAGGAAAATTTCTATGAATATGAAAGGAATCGACGGAGTGCTCCAGGTGTCGACCTACTAGATGTTCTCAAAACCAATGGAGTTGATATGACTCGCCTACAACTTCTGGATTCTGCAGCACCTCGGCAACCCATAAACTGGGGAGAATCAGGTAAAGCGTCAAAATGATGATATGCTTATCATCTACCAATTCTTTGCAGATCTGAAAGGCTTGAAGAAATGGCTTGATCGAGTAGCATGGATTGTTTCTGCTTATGTAGAGCAGAGGAGAAAGGTTGTAGAAGCCTCGGATAGTGCTGAGATTGATCCGAAAATTGAAGAGAATCTGCGCGAAAGTTACAACTTCTTTGTTAGGAATGTCAGTTTTTTTCAACATCTGCTCTGCATTAAGTTATAAAAAATAGTTTCTAGGCGTCGATGTGCTTGGAAGTTTTGAATTTGCATAATACTGGTCTAGCTCGCCTCCAAGGATTCACTAATGCACTCAGGGTACTTATTTCCATTATTTTTTTTTGATTTTTCCTCAACTTTATTTGCAGAAAATGGACTCGTCCGTGTTCGGAAACAGTCCTGAAGCTGAAAGATGTATCTATGCTTTGATAACTATGATGCAGGTGATTATTTTCCTAATAGTCTTTTCACTATTAGATATGATTTGTAGGTTTACACCCCCAACTGCGCCGCTGAGTTATGGGCAGCTCTTCGATCTGTGCCACCTATTAAAGTCCATGTACCAACTATCAATCGGGTAGATGAAATGCTATGGCCGCAAGTGGATTCCGATTGTGATATTGACTTCATTCTTACGGTAGGTCAAAATTTCTCGATGTATTCATTTTTT